AGACGAAGCTATGCAGGAGCATATGTTCAGTCTTAAAATGCCTAGCAAATTACGGAGCAGGCAATAAGTCCAGCAGCTATCTCAATCAATCGTCAGTTATGGAAAGATCGGGTTCCAAAGGCCGGATTTTTTGTGAATCACTTCACGAAAAGTTCAAGAATCGGCAACAGGCCATGGGCCTATGTCTTCAACGCCGACACTTCTATTCTATTCTATTCTATGCGTCAAGTTAACACTATCTTTCTATTAGAAGCTTAAGCAGGACGTTGGCTACTCTCCAAAAGGTTTTCATGTATAAACCATATATTATTTGCATGTTCATGGCTTGTACAAATCTGCTTTAAGTGGTTATAACCCAAGAACAATTATGACAATCGGTTGTGGCTGATACTCACAATAACTATTTTCATCATTACGAGCTGGGCACATTTTTTGTGTTTTCGCGTCTTGATTTTCCAATAGTCTGAAACCTAACTGGGATAATTATACACAAGGCTTTATCACAAGGGCATAATTATACAAGGGCTTTATCTGTTGATGGAAGTTCCTCTCGGTCCTATATAGTATCGTGGGTATAGTGCCAATAAAATGATGAATAAAAATGTTAAATGAAAACTATAATAAACAAACGACAAATATAAACAAAGACAAGAGCATAACCGTGTTTTCTCTTTGCTCTAGTTCTTACTTTTGGCCTCAAGATTTGGAGCCTTTCTGAAATAAATAAACAAACAAGAATTTAGAACTAGCAACAACCAAGGCAGAATACAATGCAAACCAGATAAATAAATATTAAAATGCTAAAATAATAATCATTAACACCTCTAAATGCCACCACTGAACTGAACACGAAAATTATCACAAAAATCAACAGACTAAATATAAAGTAACTCTTACCTCCGTGGTGGACCACACAGCAATGAATAAGTGCAGAGCATATCTGAACGAGGTCATGTCTGAGGTGACTTAAAACCAAAGAAATCCAGATACCTAACTGTAATAAAACACTATTACACTACGTCCCCTAACAATAGAAGAAGTCGGAACTCTCTTCATTGTCCCAGCACCAATACATGTGATTAGTGCATAGATTACTGTGAACTTTGAGCCGTCAATTTGAGCTCAGAACAGTTTGTAAAGATTTTGTAAGGACCTTCACATCTCAGTTCAAGCATGGCATAGCTACGTACATTCAATTATTAATTTGCCATGTATATTTGATTTTTATTGTTACATGCAGTGAATAGGCGCGTTTATTTCAAACATTATCGCACATTAAGCATCATCGAAATAACAGTTTAAACAAGATATAAGAAATTATATATGAGTAATGGACGTTGACTCAGTCACGTACAAGTAGAAGATCAGGCGTAGTTGGTTCTCCCCGTTGGACCACTCCACTAAACGATACGCTATTTAGAAAAAGAGTGTCATCAACACTCAAGCGCTGCATCGCTCTCAAATATCCATTATTGATGGTAAAGCGCTCGAGATACGAGCACTGAGTGATGTTGGCGCTTAAATTTTGTCTGTAGCATGCAATGCACCAAAATTAGCTTCCATTAATTATCGGTATTTTTATTACAGTTCTAATAACAGGAAAAATATGCTATAAAAGACTGGATATTCCTAGCAATCATGTATGCTATTTGGAGGATTTAAACCATGTATGGGATTTAAATATGCACGAAAATGATTCGACAATTGTTCTTTTATACAGTACGAAATTTAATTAATTTACTTTGTATTCTATAAAAATACATTAAAAAATGGAACTGGCAAACTTGTTCCGGTTAATTAAAAATTCATTTCACCCTCACAAATTTTACATGAAAATCATTCGAACTTCAACATGAAACTACTGCAGTCCTGGCCGCAACAGTTAATAAATTAAAACATTCGAAATGCTTCCGGTTATAAGAATGATAAGTACAGGATAAGGTCTAAATATATAAATGTCATTTTTCCTAAATCCTCATATTGAGTACTGAACTTCAATTCCAGAAGGACCAAGATAACTTGATAATGGATCTTTGCATTTTAGCTTCTCATTTTCGAATGACAACTTTGAATTTTGGACGCCCACGTACTTATAATTATTGTAACTTATGAAATTCAATATCTCGTACAATTGCGAATTTTAACTCTCAATTCAGTAAATTGACTCTAGGGTGATTCTCTAAATCTTACGAGCAAAATATAACATTAAAAAGTTTTGCAACGGATATAAAAATTTGTAAAGATGTTCAATTATGTATTAAATCCCAATTTTTAAGATCGTAGAAAGTGACTGAGTACTCATGCAGTTCAGTTCAGTTCTCTCCGCGCCATAAGGCGCACAAGGCTTGGACGTCACTCCTCCACTGGGTCCGGTTTGCAGCTGCCTGCCGTGCTATTTGCTGTACAGATCTACGGAGCCACTTCGATTCGATGAGCTGGAAGCCGCTGCTGCCAACTTCCATCCCGATGCTGACACCTCGCTTTACAAGGATGATGGCGTGGCAGCCAAACGGCTCCTGAAGGAACTGGAAGATCACCGCCTGCTCGAGAAGCATCACTGGTTTTCGCTCTTCAACACCCGTCAGCGAGAGGAAGCCCTTATGCTCTTCGATGTTCTAATGAACAGCAAGACCTGGGAGACCGCGGTCAACAATGCTGCCTACTTTCGCGAACGTGTCAATGAGGGAGAATTCGTTTACGCTCTGTACGCTGCAGTGATTCATTCCAGTCTTGGAGAGGGCATTGTCTTGCCTCCTCTTTACGAAGTCACCCCACATATGTTCACCAACTCTGAAGTGATCCAAAAAGCCTACACTGCCAAGATGACTCAAACACCAGGTAAGTTCCGCATGGAATTTACTGGAAGTCAAAAGAATCCCGAACAGCGCGTTGCCTACTTTGGTGAGGATATTGGCATGAACGTTCACCACGTCACCTGGCATTTGGACTTCCCTTTCTGGTGGAACGATGCTTACGGTTATCATCTGGATCGCAAGGGTGAACTCTTCTTCTGGGCCCATCACCAACTTACCGTACGATTTGATGCCGAGCGTCTGTCCAACAACCTTGATGTTGTTGACGAACTTTACTGGGATAAACCCATCAAGGAGGGTTTTGCGCCCCATACGACGTACAGGTACGGCGGTGAGTTCCCGACTCGTCCTGACAACGCAAGATTCGAAGATGTCGACGGTATCGTCCGCGTCCGTGACATGATCATCCACGAGACTCGCATCCGCGATGCCATTGCACAGGGGTACATCACCGCTGCCGACGGAACCAAGATCGACATCAGGAACTCTGAGGGCATCGACCATCTCGGTGATATTATTGAATCATCTCTCTACAGCCCCAACGCCCAGTACTACGGCTGTCTCTTATACACATCTAGATGTGTATAAGAGACAGCAGTGAATAGGCGCGTTTATTTCAAACATTATCGCACATTAAGCATCATCGAAATAACAGTTTAAACAAGATATAAGAAATTATATATGAGTAATGGACGTTGACTCAGTCACGTACAAGTAGAAGATCAGGCGTAGTTGGTTCTCCCCGTTGGACCACTCCACTAAACGATACGCTATTTAGAAAAAGAGTGTCATCAACACTCAAGCGCTGCATCGCTCTCAAATATCCATTATTGATGGTAAAGCGCTCGAGATACGAGCACTGAGTGATGTTGGCGCTTAAATTTTGTCTGTAGCATGCAATGCACCAAAATTAGCTTCCATTAATTATCGGTATTTTTATTACAGTTCTAATAACAGGAAAAATATGCTATAAAAGACTGGATATTCCTAGCAATCATGTATGCTATTTGGAGGATTTAAACCATGTATGGGATTTAAATATGCACGAAAATGATTCGACAATTGTTCTTTTATACAGTACGAAATTTAATTAATTTACTTTGTATTCTATAAAAATACATTAAAAAATGGAACTGGCAAACTTGTTCCGGTTAATTAAAAATTCATTTCACCCTCACAAATTTTACATGAAAATCATTCGAACTTCAACATGAAACTACTGCAGTCCTGGCCGCAACAGTTAATAAATTAAAACATTCGAAATGCTTCCGGTTATAAGAATGATAAGTACAGGATAAGGTCTAAATATATAAATGTCATTTTTCCTAAATCCTCATATTGAGTACTGAACTTCAATTCCAGAAGGACCAAGATAACTTGATAATGGATCTTTGCATTTTAGCTTCTCATTTTCGAATGACAACTTTGAATTTTGGACGCCCACGTACTTATAATTATTGTAACTTATGAAATTCAATATCTCGTACAATTGCGAATTTTAACTCTCAATTCAGTAAATTGACTCTAGGGTGATTCTCTAAATCTTACGAGCAAAATATAACATTAAAAAGTTTTGCAACGGATATAAAAATTTGTAAAGATGTTCAATTATGTATTAAATCCCAATTTTTAAGATCGTAGAAAGTGACTGAGTACTCATGCAGTTCAGTTCAGTTCTCTCCGCGCCATAAGGCGCACAAGGCTTGGACGTCACTCCTCCACTGGGTCCGGTTTGCAGCTGCCTGCCGTGCTATGTTCCACGAGTTCCAGCCTGCTCGGTTTCTCTCCTCTTCCACCATTCGCCTCCAAGTTGTTTTTGGGCGTCCTCTCTTCCTCCTTCCTTCAGGTGCCCACCCGAGGGCCACAGCACAGTCGCTTGCTCTGTCCCTCCTCAACACATGTCCCACCCAGTTCCACCATCGTCTCCTCACCACATCACTGATTTTCTCCACTTCTGTCATATCAAGAACCGACTTGTTTGAGATGTGTTGCTGCCATTGAATCTTGCAAATCTTCCGTAAGCATTTGGTCTGAAAGATATCTAGTTTCCTCTCTTCTCCCTTGGTTAGTTTCCAGGTCTCACATCCGTATAACAAAACTGAAAGAACCAGGCACTCATGCCTCATGCACTGCCAAACATCGGCAAATAATTCAAATTATAACCTGCTACTATAATCACATAATTAATTTTTGTGACCTTATTTCAATACAAACAAACAATCATCACTACATCAACATGGTCGAACCGTTTGACGAGCGACTTTTACCATTTACGGCAAAGACAGGATAGTACAGGGTAATTGACGGAAACTTCCTTCATGAAAAAAAAAACTGACAAAAATATCATTACAATATTAATTTTATTGAAAAATACATTACCTGAATTTTTTGCATCATTTAGTTTAAAGATGACATCAGACAAATGACGGCACCCATTGTTAATGCATTCAGTTAATCGATTTTTGAAGTTCCGTTCAACTCGCTGAAGCATATTGACGGGCATGTGGGCGATGGCTTGGCGTATGTTGTTCTTCAAATGAGTTGCGGTGCATGGAAAGTCATTGTAAACAATGATAACGGTGTCTAATTCAAGATAATCCCATAAGAAAAAGCCTGCGTAGCCAAATCGGGGGCCGACCTGAAAGATGAATACGGAACTGATCGAGTACGGAATGCTCGTTGAGTCGCGATATGTAACGGCCGTTAGAAAAGTACGCCTCGACAGTAAACGCACGCTGCACACTAGACCAATGCGTACTGGCAACTGACTAGGCATGCATGTCACGAAACTTCGTGCCCGTGTCTTTCATATAAAATACTTTCCTACAACATCTGGCTGCTTGGCGCCAAATACAAAACAGAAAGATTCAGTTGTTCACCCTGCACAAAAATATAAAAGTGAATTAGTTAATCAGACTTCTTCGCACCGGACTTCATGTGAATTTTTGAGACTCATCGTCATTTTGTTTTTGATCATAAATCGTAAACCTGAGAAGTGTTTGATGGTATCCCGCCAGCGAAAGCTACTTCTCACATAATAAAATATATTTTTTCTCGGTTGTTATTTCTTCTTCTTTCGTTGGTTTTTTTTCTTTCCTTTTTCAGCAACAACTTCTTAGAAAAGAATCATCTCAACTAGGTTTCTCACCTCGTAATCAAATATCTGAAGGCATGAATCTATTGATCATTTTCATTAACTAATTTATTTGGTTAAAGAAAAATTGAGAATATTTGATCACGATTGAGAATAGTCGATGGCGAAATGAACAAAAAATAAAATAGTTAGTTGCATGTGATAATGCTGAATTAACACGATTAACCAGCCGAATATTTTTTTAATTGTTCATATTTGGTTGAATTACACGAGTTGGACGAATTAAGCGTTGTGTGCGAACCCAAAAGTTTAATGTTATCCACGTAGAATAGTTTTCCGAGAACGTCTTTAATATCAAGATAATTTAAGTTTAGTTATTGCAGCTTCTATGGGATGACCCTATGACCCTCAAAGTCAATGAGCAAGATAAAGACAAGATATGGTGCAGCTGAACAAGATTCATTGGGTATAAAAGGTGGGATGCGCGCATGCATTTTCGTGTTCTGCAGCTGGAGTTCCAATCGACATGAAGCTGGTACTTGCCGTCCTCTGCCTCGCCGTTGGCGCTAGCGCCTGGCCTCACTTGGTCAACGACAATCCTGGTGAGTCCAAAACAAATTGCACGAAAAACTTGTCCTAAAAATAACTTTTAAGATCCCAAATAAATGTTTACGCCACGTCACACTGATCAGCAAAATAATTAAGAGAGTTCCTTCCCGTGATGACAAGCCACACCACCCATTCATTGTTTGATTTATTGAAATGCGGAACATAATGTTTTCAATCGACTTAAACAAGCGTGATATCAGGTTGTCTCTGAAGAAGCAGAATAAATTTGTTGAACGACTGAGTCTAAATGAATTTCCCCGCACATATCGCCACAAAATTACATAAAATTTTGTTGACGCTTATTTAAATTTATTGGCATGCAAATTTTTTCTCATGCTTATTAGGTCTTGCTAATCGAATACATAATAAATCATCCATTTTAAGTTATCACTGATATTGAAACGTGACATTCATATAACTAATTATTCAATTGAAATTTGTGAATAATTCTTATTCTACCTTTATAAGTAAATTCTTTAATTTCCTCTTAACTTTCCGGTAAAATTTTATATGCCACATGTAGCAGATTTATACAACTTGGAACAAGTGACAAAATTGATAATGGAAAAGAGCGAATTGAGCCTTAATTTTATCGATTTTAAGGAATAGACTTTCATCGAATTCTTGAATTTCCTTGCAGCTGATCTGGCCCACAGACAGCAGACCGTCAATCGTCTGCTGTACAGATCTACGGAGCCACTTCGATTCGATGAGCTGGAAGCCGCTGCTGCCAACTTCCATCCCGATGCTGACACCTCGCTTTACAAGGATAGTGGCGTGGCAGTCAAACGGCTCCTGAAGGAACTGGAAGATCACCGCCTGCTCGAGAAGCATCACTGGTTCTCGCTCTTCAACACCCGCCAGCGAGAGGAAGCCCTCATGCTTTTCGATGTCCTAATGAACTGCAAAACTTGGGCGACCGCCGTCAAGAACGCAGCTTATTTCCGCGAACGTGTCAATGAGGGAGAATTCGTCTACGCTCTGTACGCTGCCGTGATTCACTCTAACCTTGGTGAAGGCATTGTATTGCCTCCTCTGTATGAAGTAACCCCCCACTTGTTCACCAACTCAGAAGTGATCCAAAAAGCCTACACTGCCCAGATGACCCAGACACCTGGTAAATTCCGCATTGAATTCACAGGAAGTAAGAAGAACCCCGAACAGCGTGTTGCCTACTTTGGTGAGGATATTGGCATGAACGTTCACCACGTCACCTGGCATTTGGACTTCCCCTTCTGGTGGAACGATGCTTACGGTTATCATCTTGACCGCAAGGGCGAACTCTTCTTCTGGGCCCATCACCAGCTTACCGTTCGATTTGATGCCGAACGCCTGTCCAACAACCTTGATGTTGTTGACGAACTTTACTGGGATAAGCCAATCAAGGAAGGCTTCGCACCCCACACGACGTACAGATACGGCGGTGAGTTCCCTACTCGTCCTGACAACGCAAGATTCGAAGATGTCGACGGTATCGTCCGTGTCCGTGACATGATCATCCACGAGACCCGCATCCGCGATGCTATTGCACAGGGGTACATCACCGCTGTCGACGGAACCAAGATCGATATCAGGAACTCTGAGGGCATCGATCATCTCGGTGATATTATCGAATCATCTTTCTACAGTCCGAACGCCCGATACTACGGATCACTCCACAACGATGCCCACGTCATCTTGGGTCGTCAAGCGGATCCTCACGGCAAATTCAACCTCCCTCCTAGTGTCATGGAGCACTTCGAAACAGCTACTCGAGACCCTGCCTTCTTCAGGCTGCACAAGTACATGGACAACATCTTCAAGGAGCACAAGGACTCCCTTCCTCCCTACACTGCTGAGGAAATTGGATTCCCTGGCGTTCAACTGACTCGTGTTGGCGTTGAAG